CCACCCGTTTATCAATTTAACTCACGGCAGTCAGAGCCGAGGAGTCAGGCCAGGCTGGCTGGCAAAACGCTGCAATGCAGTTGAACTTTTAATTTGATGAATGATATACATTTGTCTCGAGTGCGAGGCAACCCCCCTCGCGGCGAGACCCTCTTTCTTTAACCCTCTCGTGGGCCTTGGTCTGCCACAGAGATTGCCGCAAGTCGGCCGGTAATTGTTGTGGATTGCAGCTGGGAGAAGACCGAAGTCCGTCGAGTCCGAAGAGCGATCGCCTGGAAATATTTGCACAGACAAGTTGACTGGACCCCTCCACACACATGGTCTTCGGCCGATCGCTGGCCGATCTGGATCTCGACTCGACTTGGGCTATATAATTTTGCTTAGCTGCAATTATGAGATGTGCCGGGCTGATCTTGAACCAAGCGAACAAGAAGGGGCTGCACACATGGAGGAGCAGCCGCAGAAACCTGAACTTCACCGGAAGCTTCGTCTTCTGTGTGCGCTGGTCTTTTGTGAATCAAAAGCAGAGCAGCCGAGGCATCAAAAGATAAAAAAAACTAAAAAGAAATAACTCGTTCTTACGGTTATCTGTTGGTTTTACAAGTGCCTCAAGTGCTGCAGAAGAATCTCCCCTGCACCATTCTTCATGCGTCTGGCAGATGCCAACATAAAATACATCCAACATCCTTAATTATGACAATCATCTCAGCTTGATGTTCATTTCTCGACTTGACTTGGTTTTGTTTTCCGTGGCTGCAGATCTCCGATCCAGATCGCTTGTATATTGTATCCGCAAGAGTGTGTATGTTGGTATGGGGTCACTTTTCGATATATTCTAGATGTGAGAGGGAAGGCGAAAGATCGCAGTAAGAGATCTGTGGCACAGTTTTCGAAAACACTTCGGAATGCCGTGCACTGGGGGTTGATTTGGTGCAAGGATGGGAACCAACCAAGTGGGGGAGATCTTTATGTTGAAGGTAGGGAGCGTGAGAGCTTTATTCTTCGGCAGTTAGTATTCTTATGACGATTCCGGGTGACTTGGTTTCGTTTGGGAATTATGGCTGATCGCGGAAGATATAATTATTGCCAAGGGATATTTTATTCGTTGTGCATTTCCCTTTTATTTTTGGTTAGGGCATGCAATTATGGAATACCAAGTTTGTGAAGCGTTTCTTTATTATTTAAATTTAATTTGCAAGGCTTACTTGCTAAAAAAAAGAGCATAAAAGCATTAAACATGATTAAATAAAATCGTTGGGAAACAAATATTATTTCTATAATGCTTAAATACCAACAATTAATTTTTAATGTATTAAATTACTAGTTTTTCATAACATATTGTCAATTAATGCACTACTAAACCCCGAACTTTCATTTGTTGTTGCCTACAGATATTATTGTACTGTTAAAGGTCATTTTTATTTTTCCAGACATACAATTCAACACGATCTCTAACCCCTGACTGGCCCAGAATTTTCTAAGCGACCACTTTCGCTTTTGGGGCAGCCGAGGCCAATTACAAAACCAGCTGATTGATTACGCGGCAATGGCAATTAAAAGCCCAGCTTTCACCCTCAGGCGGCCACTGGCCAGCCACTAATTACTTTCACTGGACCAGGGCCCGTCATCAAGCCCAACTTGCAAATAAGCCAAGTCAAATTCAGAGGCGCAGTTACAATTCGAGCACGCAGCCGGACTTTGGTTATCATCGTCGTCATCATCGCAGGGGGCCAAAAGGTTAATATGGCAATTAGCCAACTTTACCAAAAGAAAGCCGAGGCAAAAACAGAAAAAAAACAACCAAAAGGTAACGCAGGGAAAAAGCCAAACTCTCTGACAATTAACAGAGCCATAGCTTTCATAGGTCGTAGATGCGATAACTTTCAAATGCGATTAGGGTCGATGAGCTGCCAACTGAATCCAAATCGACAGGTTCTAGCAAATGATAATAATTCTGTTTTCGTTTCTCTTGTGTTTCTTTTTTTTTCCTACCGAGGATGAGCCATCGAAGCCATAAGAACGGATGCCGGCATCCACAAGATACTTTTGAAAGTATCTCAACAGGTTCACGCCTCTATCGAAATCTCAGACACACATTGAATGTAATTTTCAGACGAAAAAAATGGATGGAGAGACGGGCCGAAATGAAAACCTTTCGAGCCAGATCCACTTGTAAGTGGTACATCAAAAATTTCCAACAGTTTTTCAAGTGTTTATGATGGGGGCATTGAGGGGCATTGGTTTTGGCGTGATTACCGCAAGTAAACTATCTCTCACAGCTGGATGTTTCTGAGGGAACGGGCTGCCGGTTTTTATTTCTTTGTTTTTGTTTTCCCTTTTTCTGTGTTTTTCGTCTTTATGAAGATGAATTTCTTTTTTATGAGTGATTTAAACGTGTCTGCTGCTCTGTATCCCCCTGCTGTTTTGTAGCTCCAATTACCTTAGACCTCGCTTGATTGATTCAGCCGCAACGGACCGAGTTCAATATCAAGGCAAGTTCAGCTCCAGTAAGCCCATCAGCTAATCCGAATTTCGAGCGCCTTTTGTCATAAACCCTAACAATACGTCATCATCGGTTTACCTTCAATCGACCTAAACCCTCGGAAACAAAAACATAATAGAAAGAGAACCAATGACAAATCCGTTCAACAAGTGGCACTCGAGACCAGATCTCTTAAGAGGGCTTCTGCTTACATCAATGCCAGCATCCAATCTTTATCTGCGGCTCATCAAGCGGATCGCATTTGCATACAATTCCCATCGATGCGTATTTCCTATATATATCATTTTCCCTATCGCCAGTGACAATCTGGTGGGCATAAATCAGGGGGCCGCATCTTGGCTTAGATCTCCAGTATATAAATTTAAATTAGCCAGTTCAACTTTTACCCCCAGACTGGCGGGCCGGTGATTTAGCACTTGGAATATGCCAAGAATCGCTTTGCAGGTGTTTCAATGCCAAAAACGAGTTTACATGCGACTTGACTTATTTGCCTGCTAATTTCTGGTTATTTATGCGACCAAAGCCGTTGGAAAAAAGTCTAACAATAGACGGCATTTGGGTGGGGCCTCTAGTTGCTTTGCGGATTTGTTTATTTTTCTGTGAGCGCGCTTTTTGGGCTGCCTTTTTTTTTTGGGGGGTCCATTGTTTGCCTGACAACATGACAATTACACGTTCAGAATTTTCGAAAAACAAATTGCGTTGTCAGCTTTGGTTGGTGGTAATCAGCATGGCAAATTATGGAATTATTTCCACCTGAAATCGAGTGCCTGAAGGTCGTCGCTATAATTCATTCACTTAGTCAAGTGCAGGTTTAATTTACGTCTAAGGTGATCTCAGACAAAAAACAAAATTGTAAAAAAACAAATAAAGAAATATTTATTTGGCAAAGTCAAATTTTAGATTATTTACAGGTTTTTGTTGATGATGTCAGACAATCATTTGGATGTGCCAGAAGTACTCTTTGCGGTATTTATAAAGCATTTTCTGAAAAGGTTTAATTTTGCAATTATTTTTAGATTTGAATATTTATCACAGCCACACATTGAAATTACCAAATTGATTTATGCATATGGTGATCTTATACATAGAAATTATTCATCAAGAAAAATTGTTTGCAAATGTTGAAGCTAATTAAAAATGTATAATCTAGAAATAATTTAAAATTCTGGTAGATATTAAATATCTACAAATTGCTTTGAAATAATAACTTATTTGTCCTTTATGAGTGCTTCTTTAAAATTGAAAATACTGTGTCGTTATTTAATGATACTTTTTGCACTGAGTGGCTTATAGCCCCAGGACTTTCAGCGATGGAATCCTCTCAACAGACTACAAAGGATACTCCAAAAGTTGACGGCGGCTGTTTCGGTATTTTTAAAGGAAAAAAGTTGGATGAGAGGAAAGGCCTGTTTGTTATTTACCGACAACTTTATGGCCACATGTCGACGACAACAACAACGGCGAATTGTCATCATAAACAATGTGAGCGGGCCAACAAAAACAAAAAAACCATCGTTGAATTTGTTGCTTAAATTTCTGCCTCTCGTAATTTTTTTTCCTTTGCGGTTGTTGTTTTTGTTGATGCGCATGTGTGAAAAATAAGCAAGTTTCCCAAGTAATGTGGGGGGTGTGGTCGTCAGCACTGGCGACATCAACGAATTTTTTCCATTTAGGTTTTTCTTCATTTTTTTCCGTTTGTGGGAAAAGCGACGCCACGGCGTCTATTTAATGAAGTGCCAGAGCGCCGACGATTTTTTTGGGGACATTTTTTCTATGCCACGCGGATAGTGTGAATTTTCACATCAAGTTTCTCTGCTGCAGTTTTGGACTGGCATAAAGCGATTGCACCGAGTTGAGCCGGGCTTAGCCAAGTTGAGTTATCTCTTTTGCTGAAGGTGCCAACGGCCCAGTTGACAGGTGGGTGGAGGTTTACTTGATTTAAGTACGGATTGAATGGGGTTAGCAGTTTTGTGTTCAAGGTAAGGCACGTTCAGTGGTACTTAAAAGGCTGTTTTAAAGCACTAACAGAGTGTTATGACTTAATTAGCTTGGACACTTGAGTACATTTTAAAATTTTTTATAGACAATTAATGAGAAAATGTTGGCGGGCACTTAATAAACAAAGAATAAATATACCAATAGTTCTCGCATTATCTGTCTGAACTATAAAATGCATTTTAAAAAATAAATACCAACATATATGATACAATTTTAAAATGGGATGTAAATTAATGTATCAAATAAATTTTTAAAAATTCTTAGTCATGTTTTGAACTCTTAGAAGGCTATGTTATCCAAAACCTATATACCTTGATAGTTTAAACTAGATATTGCCTAATATTACTAGATTTTCTCATGAGAGGATTTTAATTCTCTTAAAAATAGATCAAACCAACAGGCTGACACAGATCATGCCGACTTAACCTAAGCCCTCGTTTTAAAGCTCTTTAATCCAACATATCGTATCGACTCGAGGGCCATTCATCCAAGCACTTACCCGCTAACACATGTGTATCCAATCACTCTCTGCCCCAATGACGTTCTGCCGGTATAATCTGTAATGAAGAGCAAACATATAAATTTAATAAGCTGTCACATAAATTTTCCGCTCTCTCATGAGCACTTAAATCTATATACTAGACCCAGTCCGAAAAATCATTCGAGCTGAACACTAAATTAGATAGAGAGCCAGCGAAAAAAAAGGAGAACCTAAAAATAGTGAACAACGAACAGAAGCGTGGGGAAAAATCTGAAACAAATTAAATCCACTTAAAAACTGTTACCAATGGCAAAATAAAAATGTTTTGGCATCTGTTTCGATTTAAAGGATTGAGTGGAAATTGAATACTTTCCCAAGAACGCTGACTAAGTGAAAATTAATAGCCGAGAAAACCCCGCTGTAAAAAAATAAAGGGGGAAAACAGGAAAACTTTCACTGGAAACTGTAACGAGAAACTTGAAATGACTTTTTGAACTGTGAACCATGAACATGGAGTTATCGAAGGCCCTGAAGTGCCGTGCATTGGAGTGTTTGGATTGTGTGTTCGACTGGAGGCATCATAAATATTTGAAATGCGTCTCCGTAACTGACACGATGATGGTTCCATCGGGGGAACTCCGGACTGCGGAGCAGGGGGCAGCCAGCATGCCACATGGCAGCAACAACATTTTGACACACTTAAGTGTCGGACAGCCCCCATCATCAGCGGTCTGATCACCGACGATCCTCAGCCGGCTGGGGCGAAGATGTGCGACAATAAATTTGAAAATTATGAACATAATTCTTCATTAACAGCGCCTCCGTGCTGCTGCCATTGATAAATTGGAAAATGCGATAGAGCAGAGGCGTCTCCCCAGCGTTTTTCTTCCCTTCCGAATTCCAAATTCCGAATACGAAACGAAAGTGAAATGTGAACTGCCCACATTTGCTTTCGTTTTATGTGGCCAGTTGGTGGGTTGGCGAACGGAACTCCGGGTTTTGGGATTTTGGGCCCAATGCCCAGTGATAAATTGGCGATATTACGGCAGCAGATTATTCAAATTTCTGCCCGTGGGCGTTAACCCACAAAAAGTCATTTGAAGAATGCCAAACCAGGCCATAGATAGACCCATTTCTGATAGTGCCCGGCGATTGTTTGGCATTCAAATTGAAATACCGTGATTTTTGTGGTCCAGTGGCCGTTGGTCGATGGTGCAGGGCAGGTGGGTTGACATAGATTTTTCCCCTATCCAGCTATTGTTTTGCGGTTTTGCGCAGATTTCAGGGCTTGACTGAGTCGGAACGCACTTTTTTCCCTCCATTATTTAATGGGCGTTGCCGCGACTTTCTGGCAGTTTATCGTTTGTTTTTTGTGCATATGTCCCAAAGGGAATTGAATGGCATTGACCACCGCTTTTTTCTAAATTCCTAAAAACCTTGGGGTATAATAACGTTTGATAACAAAATAAATTTCCAAGAAATATACAGAGAAATATGTTTGCATTCATAAAAGGTACATACATAAACATACAACATATTTAAGATATTATTTTTTTTCCTTTGAAACTCTTTAATTTAAGCAAAAGTTATATATAAATTTATAGCCCGTTTAATATGGTTTCACACAATTTTAAAGCTTACAAATAAAATACCATTTTAAATAAACAGTTAAACTGCAGAAGGAAAAAAAATGTTTTTCAGGTTTCGTGGTATTAAATAATGATACCATTTATTTATTTTTTCTTTGGTATTAAGTTACTTCCTGTCCGTAGAAATATATACCACTTAGTTAAAATGGTTTTTTTTTTAATTATAAAAAATAAAAAAAAGTCCTAACACCTCCCCGACGGGGAATTGAACCCCGGTCTCCCGCGTGACAGGCGGGGATACTAACCACTATACTATCGAGGATGTTGAATTCCGTTTGCCCAAATGTGCTTTTACCTATAGGCACTGTTTTTATCTGTGAGGGGCAATCGATTAAGAGAGAGGGACATACAGATTAAAAAAAGAGAGAACACAAATGAGAACTTAAAACTAAACAAATTTGTATAGAATAGCTGACCAATTTCAGTTCCGAGTTCAACGCACGCCAGCGACAGCTTTGAACAATTTAAATTACAGATTTGGTTGTAATTACTGATCTGGATTTTTCACATTTCTTATAAATTTTCCAGCGCAATCAATTGATTTTAATGCGTTTCCAGCATAGCACTCGCCAGTGCTCCACTTTATCCGGCATACCAAAGCTCGTTCTCTCTGTTTTTCTGGGGCCCCCGAGACCAGCCATGAAATGCAGTCGGGAGTGGGTCTGTCCCACAGCGGTTTCGAAATCATTCCCACCTCATAACAGCCACCAGGTAAACCCGCCCCTTCACTCCGATTCAGTTCAATCCGCTCCACACGGCGCATGCAACGCGCGCTCGGCTTTCACAGCCCAATTCACTTGCCGCAAAAACCGCAAGGTGCGTTGTTATAGTTGCTCAAAACCATTCAAAGTGAAAAATGCCAGCACAAAAACACAAAAGCAAAAGCAATTACGCAAGCAACGCAGATTGCAACGCGATCTAGTTTGCTTTCTCTCTTTAACAATCGAAGGACCCATTTTTACTTGAGAATTTCTAAAAATATAAAAAATACTTAAAACTCAAAATAAAAAAGTTTTTTGCAAATGGGAAAAATCAGAAAAAACTAAAATTAAAGAATTACATTTTAATGATCTATACATTTCATGTATAATAATACCCATATATCTTTTTATTGTGTCATCTTTGCCTCAACCATCAACCATTCTGAAATAGTTTCATGTTAAAAATTCACATGTTGAAATTCCGTTTGGTATAAAACTTCAAATTCCTCTACTTTACTTTGCTAAAAAATGAGAAAAGCAGCAGTCATGTCCGGTCGTCGTTGTGTAATCTGCGGCGAAGAGCCGCCGGCTAAAGACGCGCAGGGCAACGAGGCGTATGCGTATCCCAAGACGTCGGACGAGGCCAGAATCTGGCAGGCCAGTATGATGGCCAAGAACTGCTGCCTGGAGAGCATCCAGAACCAGTGTTGCGTCTGCGTGGAGCACATTCCCGACTTCGTAAAGCGTGCCAAGAAGATTGGCCGCCGGCTGAAGACACTGGAGCGGGAAAAGCAGAAACGCCTCGAAGAGGAGGCAGCGGCAGAGGAAGCCTTGGGCTGCCATTGTCCAGATGATGGTCAGCCCGGTCCCGACCGCCCCTCGGTGAATGTCCTGCTCCTAAATGGAGCTTCACTGCCCACGTATTGCGGCCAGGGTCAGTCCTGCGTGAATTTGCGACCACTTCCATCGGAAGAGGGCGATTCGGAAATGAGGGTAACAAAATGGTTAAATCCCAAGGAATCCGACACGGAGATCTTTGTGCAGGAGTCGGAATTTAAGGACACCGGCGGGACTTTCCCGGATATCGATGGCACCGAAGTCACCATGCTGCGGGCTCCCATGCAAGAGGAAGAGCAGTTGGAGCAGCTGCAGCATGAGCTGAAAGATGCGGAACAGGAGGAGGACCCGAGTGCCAGGTGGGCTAAATTAATGACCTTTAAATTTCGTTTGTATTTCTTTACATTTTTTGTGTAAAATCAAAAAAGTTTCCTATGCTTAAACCTAAATTATTATTGCAGATAAAACTAAGTCTGGAATATAGATTAAATTCTATGCAATATGTATATGTTCTATATATACCAAGGCAAACTTTAGTTTTCAACTCCATAAATATTATATATATCTATTCTCCTTTCTACCAATTTAGGAGGCGCCGCAATAGCTGCATGCCCGGCTGCACGGATGTCCTTCTCCTGGGCCGCGGTCACCACCCCACCGACGATTGTCCTTGCAAGTGTGAGCAGTGCACGAAGCCCTCTGGTTTGCCAGAGAAGGAACCGTGCTGCCAGCCCGAATGCTGTCCGGAATCCGAGCCAAACTACTTCAGCCAACCTCCCTGCGGCTGCGAATGTGAGCAGCAGGTGCGCCGGGAACTCACGAAGGTCATCAAGACGCAGGGTCAAAGGATTCGCGAGCTGGAGGAGTTGCTCTGCCGGCAGAATAATGTGCGCAACTGTCTGCAACGGAAGTTGGATGAGTTGTACTGCGAGTTTGGTCGCCTGGATGAGGATGAACCAAATCGATCGCGACTAACCTGCCCGGGAAGTGATCGTGGCGCCCCCGATTGCACCTCTGCTTTGTATCCAGCTCCTCCTCCGCCGCCGCCCCCGGAACCAGAGCATGATATTCCACATAAAAGATACCGAAAGAGCCGTCGATTGACCCTTTTGAAGGCCACTATTTCCGAGAATAAGATTTCAACGGAGGAGCAGGAACCTCCGATGCCAGAGGAGGGTGAACGGGTTCACTGGTACGCAGAGAAAAATGTAGAATCCGAGAAGATCAGCCATATTCCTCGGTGGGTCCACATGACGAATAAAGAAGAGATTGAGTCGGAAAGCAAGATAGCCATTCGATTCGGGCAAAACAACACCTACTTAGTACCCACGGAGAACGAATCCCACTACACGATCTCCACCTCGAATACCAGGTCTCAGAAGTCCACTTCCAACTCCAACTCCACCTATTCCGTGTCCAACAGATCCCGTACTTGATGTGCCCGTCTGCCACCCGTTACCCAATCCCCTCGCCCCCCATCGCATCTCCCTGTCCCTGTGCAATCATGCAAATAAAAATATATTCTTTTTTCCGGCTCTGTGCAAATGTTTTTAACCCAAATATTTTGTAGACATGCAACATTTATGTAGACAGGCTGCAAACAATTTGCAGCTGAGTGAGCGACAGGGCACTGAAAAAAACGCCAGTGCTTTTTTTATTCCACTACCAATATACTTCTGCAATAGTTACTTTTCACAGTCCATTTGTTTTCGCCCCCAAAACGTGCAAAATTGGAATTTCTCTTCGGTTTCAATTTGGCATTACAGTCGTACACATTTGGAATAAACATATAAGTAAATCGAGACAATATTGATTTTTACTTTAAGCCAGTATCTGGAAGTTCTGGATTTTATTAGTTTAATTGGAATAATAAAATATTGTATTACTGAAAATGGATAAATGGAATTAAATACTGAATTATTTTAATGGAGTTTGAAGTTATATTTATAATGAAAGTCAGTTGATAAGAACATAAAAATAAAAACTGTAAATAGCTTGCAATATAATGATTATTTGCTTTAATTAAACAACTTTTATTACCAATAGTTGTTACAAGTAACAAACGCAATACTTATTATATATTTTGAAATGCTTATAAAAGCAAAACGTAATATTTTCAGTGACTCGGAGGAAGAAACAATGAAACACGATTGCAGAGTTGAGACCCACTCTCGGGCTCAATGCGAACCACTCGAACACCCCTCGAAGGCGACAGCTGCGTGCAAATTGTTGCCATTTTATGGCTTTTCAGTGCAAACGAATGCAGCTGTCTCTTCTCCACCCCCTCCACATTTGAACACACCCCCTCGCAAATATACCCCCTGCAATTTAGGGAGCAATTTTCGCTTACTATTCCAAATGTTCATAAACACATTAAAATGATAATTAAAAGAAAATTTCGCTCTCTTTTCATTTTTCGCACATCAGCGGCAAAGTTAATGCCGCAATGTTGCATCTGCATTATTTATTTATTATGTATGCAAATGCATTTAATTGCATGGCCGAAAGTGGGAGCGAGAGAGAAGGGGAGAGAGGGAGACAGAGTCAGAGACAGAGGAGCTGCAGGCGAGGCAACGTCAAACAATTTGCATATTTTAGCATGTAATGAAATTTGTAATAATTCTGCAATTAATTGCGTACGTGTCCTTGTTTATAGTCCACGTAGCAGTTGGACGGGTGGAGCAGGAGTCCAGTTTCATTTTCAGTTTGTGTGGGTTTTTGGCTTTTCGCCCCAAGGGCCATGAAAACACACAGCGCGAAGTAGTGTGCCGGGCATTAATGTTTACGTTTTGCGTGCATAAATAAAACGGAATATATATAAATTGCCATATATGGCCATATACGTATTAAAACCATAGACAGCATTCGTGGCTCCTGTTCGTCCAGAAAGACTTTAATGGTTAAAGTTACAAAATATGAAAAGCATACAAAAGAATTGCTTCAAACTTAGTTTGTTGAATAAATGATAATATATTTCTATATTATCATATTAATAGTCTATTGATTGTCTCTCAATTAAAATACTTTTTGCCTTGACAATTTTAAAGTATTTTTATTTTTACAAAAAATTTTATTAATATTTATAATAATAAAGCAGTTTTTTAAAATTATCCAAATATAATTATGTTAAAAAATGTAACTTAATAAGCAAACTTTATTTAGAATGTTTCTATATATAATAAATGTATACTTTCTGAGCTTTTTACCAAGATCATACCACCTATTTAATATTCGAATTTTAAATTGCTCAAAACATTTTGAGCCCCTTAAAAGTCTTTTATTACCTACTTATGTTTTTAAAAATGTTTTAATTTAACAAATCATTTCAATTGAACTTTGCTTTGTTTCACTTCGCAAATTCTCTCGAAATTGCCACATTTTAGGGCCCCGACTTTGACCTGCACTTGAAACTGCCAAAACAAAGCAATCGACTGCGGACTTTTCCACCCTGCTTTTCCCAAAGTCCTTCATTGGCGGCGGCTGCTTTACAATTTGCATGTTTACAAGTAAATTTCCAACATGAATATTTATTTGTTTTACCATTGCAACGCAGCAAATGGAGTTGTTGTGTGCCGTGTTGTGGCAGTGCATTGTTGTTGCTCGCGGTGGCTGTTGATGTTGATGGGTTGTATACCTTCGGCTAGGTGTTCGACATGGTCTTGTTGTTTTAATCCCTGTCCCTGCCCCCGCCCCCGCCCCCGAATTCCGCCCACCAACCCCTTCGGTGGATTTTCAATAACAAGCTGGCTGGGCCATTGTTGTTGTTGGTCATTTTGTTGTTTGTTTTTAATTGTTTTGCATGTTTTCATTTCATTTGCAGTCTCAATGAAAAAAGGGGAATAAAAATCGGGTTGCGGGGCAATCGACACCGTCATTATGGCGAGAACAACAACAAATATTTATGCTGATTTTTATGCTACTTGGGCATATAAAAGTGTATTTAAATGCGAAGATATCAGGCGCTGACAATCGGGTTGCATCATCATTCTTTGATTTTCATTTCGATTTGATGTTTTTCAATTATATTAAGGGTCCTGCCACTTCGGGATTTTACCACCCCATCCCCCCCTGCCAGGCATCATTTGTTGGCCCGATTTTGTTTTTACTTTTAGCTGTTTTTTCGGCAGTTTTCTTGTTTGTTTATTCTGCAATTGTCTGGACTGGCAGACAGACAATAGATTTCAAGGATGGTTTCATTTCAGCTGCGTCCATTTGAGTTTCATTTTCATTCTCCTTTTACGGCTTGCAATAATCATTTGGCGAGGAAAGGAAGCGGAAGTACAAAAGCGAGCAGCGAGGGAAAAAGGAAGCGGGTCAAAAGGAAAAGTGCCAAAAGGAAAGTCTCATAAAATTAGTAGCAATGACTTTAAAATGCCATGTTTTGCAGAACCCCACCCCTCCATTTTATTGTATCCATTCTTGCCTTTTTTCCGTTCTTTGATGATGATTTTTTCATTAGTTTCGCGCCGTTTGAGGCCGCCAATTAAAATAGAAAGAGACGGAAGCCAATATTGGAAAAATATATCCACATTTCTATACACATTTAGATAAAAAGTTTTATATACATGTGCACAGAAAATATATTTTACATTTTTAAAAATCAACATTTTTTTATAATTGGTTTCTGTTTTAAAATATCCCATTTTAATAAAATCTAATTATTTTGGGTTAGATAGATAGACAGGATAGAGAATTAAATATTTAACTATCTAAAAGCATTCATAAAATCAACTAAATATGAAAGTTATGTAAATATAATTGTTTTTTCTGTGTATATAGATAGACATGCCGTCATGATGATAAATGAGTTTTGTGTAGCTGAACAGAAATGCGTGCTAAATGTTATAATTGCCGCCATTCATTGGGGCCTCGGGTCGAGGGATAGAGAAAGGAACGAGGCATGTGCAAAACATTTGAAACGCTTTGAATTAATGGCGATTTTGTTAATTTAAAAGGTTAAATATATTGCTTGAATTCAGTTAGATACGGACAACAAAAGATCTGCAAGAGATACATTAAATAGACAGCTCTCGACATCTTAAACTTAAAGTAATGCTTTGCAAATAGTTTAAATTTAGCCATAAATTTCCTCATAATTTGGCAATTTCCAGCAACCTTCCTATTGAGTTTCCTGCTCTGTATGCACAAGCAAACTATAAGAAAATAAATGCCATTTTGAGTTTGTCCTCTGCTTTCTTCATATTTATCTGGCAGTGCGAAATTGCGCAACAAAAATATGTGTATCAAGAAAAACAGAGCCAAAATAAACCCTTGAGAGGAAAATAGACGGAGACCCTGAAGGACTCGCATACAAAACAATAAGGACAAGGACAGCCGAACGGAACTGAAGAGCAGGCAGAATAATAGTCAATAAAATATTTGCACGAACCAAAAATCATTCAAGCGCATCTCGGGACTTTTATTTCAATACAATCCGCAGATAGAAATCGGGGAGGGCTTAGGAAAAAAGTGGCCCAGGCATTGAAATAACATTTGCCGAATACAAAAAGTTTCCAAAGTGCAGCAGCATTCAAAGGAAAGATGACAGGCAAGGAGAATTCAACAAAAATAAGAGCAAAAGGCTGCCACAGGTTCTGCGTCGAGAGAAAAGTGGCAACAACAAAAAAAAAAGGGAAAACAATTTTCAATGTTTTTACTTCTAGTTGAAGACGCTTTATTCAATGCCAGTGGTGGGTGGCAAATAAAAAGAAGAAAACCCTCTTTGAGCCAAGTTACTTGGGACTTTCAGTCACAAAAATTTTTACCCATGACTGGACAACAGTGGCGGCAAAAAGTGTTCGACCTTTCCAGCAAAACAAAGCAGGAAATGGCTGCCAGGATATTGACAATGGCGGAGGCGAAGGCGGCTGACGAAGGCGGTCGGCGAGGGCGTGGCCGGGGGCGTGGCCATGGCCGCTGTGCATCGAGCGTGAAATGCGTCAACCCTGGCAGCGCGAACAAAACGAGATAAAAAGAGTTCCCAGCCATTTAAAGCGCATCTTATGCGATGGAAAAGTTTCAAATTTACTTCCCCCACTTGTGGATCCTTTACTTAGTAAGCCCATTTTGTTGCCCCCTTTAAACACTTGAGCTACTTAAGGACATTTTAGTTAAATTTTATGTCGATTTCCGCTGGTCTCAGATTTCAGTTTGCCAATCTATTGAAATTGCGGTCGAGCATCGAGGGAAAAAGGTCAAACCCATTAAATTTATAATGCGATTGCGGGAGAAAGCCCGGGTAAGGACGAAATGGGCGTGGCAGCGGATTCTCTGTGTGTAAGTGTGTGTAAGTGTGTGTGTGTGCGTAGGAGAGAGCCTTAAGTAGGTCAGTTTTGTCTGTCATAAAATGCAATTGGAGCGCATTAAAGTGCCCCGCGACTGGCAAGTGAAATGTCAAGTTGTAAATAAGCAGGACAGCAACAGGGGGCGGAAGGAGGAGGGGGTGTGGCAGGCCAAAGGATCCACAAAGTCCTGCGAAGGGCGTTGTCGTCAAGTGTCGAAATGACCCAAAAGGTTTGATAGCTGCTATGATGTCACTTCAGATGCTCAAGAAAAAGGTCATTTAAGTCAAAAGGTTAAACTTGTATTTATGGTTGGACGAATTTTAAATTATCGTGATTATATTTTATTATATTTGAACATGAGATGAGAAAAATATGTAACTCTGGATTAAATATGTGTGATAGTGCTATTGATTTTTGCTTACTATTACTGTCAAAGATTTTTTTTTACAAAAAAAACAATTAATAACTAAAATTATAAAATCTATTTTAATATTTAAATAATTTACTTTACAGATAGCTAAAATTAATTTAATCAAATGTCAAGTAATTTATATAGTTCACTGTGTTTTATGGAGTATACAAAAACTTAGTTTTACTTCTGTTAACTATTATATTTTATAATCATGTTTTATACATTATTAAAAAGTTCAAAATTTGCTTTCAAAATTTCCAAAAATCTTTTCAGCCACGAAAAAACAAGGACTCCCAAGATATTTGCTGTAAAGTCATTTGAATCAGTTATCTGCTCGCTGTCCGCACTATCTGCACTTACATTTCCCGACACTTTCGGGCCTTTGTTACTATGCAAATGGCCAAACATTTTGGCTTAAAAGCTTTGTTACGACCACCGCCGAAAAGCATCGCGTCTCGGGTCTAGACGTCTATTCAGCCACTTCAATTTGGCCCAAAACGAAATGAGGATGGTGGAGTATAACGAGGGGGAGTGGCGGCCGCGTTGAGTTGCGATTACGGCCATGATCCGTTTGGCCTGGGCCCCTCCTCATAATTGATATTCATATGCAGCTCGGATGCCGTTTGCTTGCATCTCATTAGTGGCCGTCGCTGAATCCCGCATTTATCCTTATATGTACCTGGCTCTTATAAATAAGCACATAATCAGGCGACAAACGCGACTGGGGCCGCCACGTGCATAAATAAATAAATAATTTGCAACAATTACCATAACTCGGGCTGACATCTCCACTAGACCTTCGGCCACATTGTGCCAAAGTGTTATGACTAACTTGGCTCTTTTCAACTCTGAAACTGAGGCTTTTGCTGGGGCTGCTGCTTCTGCTGCTGATGATGATGATGTCAGTTGCCAGCAGAAGCAGCAGCAGCACCAGTCAATAAACATAAATATCGGAGAGAAGATGCTCGTGGAGCATCGTTAAGTGTTTGGCTTTATGGCCGAATCGGGCGAGAGACTTCGCGGCCCGGCTTGGACTTTAATTAGCGCCTGGCCTGACAATTAAATAATATTTTCGCCAACTCACAGCTCATCCCCACTCTCTACTTGTCTGTGAAGCCGCCGACTTGTTAACTCGCTGCCTGACAGTCTGCCAACAAGTTTTAATTACAAGCCAAACGGCAGAGGCAAAATAAAACAAAAAAAGACACTGGGAAAAGACGAGTAGGAAACGAGCCATTTATATAGCCTAGACTGAGATATACCCTGTTTTAAAGTAAGAAAAGTGATTTGGGATAAGGGATTCTGGCACATCAAAATATTAGTTAAATATTAGTTAAATATTTGATTATAAATTTCCCTTATGTATTAAAAAATAGATAAAAGAGATTTGCAGTTAAACAAAAACAATTCAAGAACTCTTCCGAATTTCCTAAAATTTAATACTTAGTGAGACAATAAAAACTATTTAAAATTAAGTGTCACTGAGATTTTGGTACTGTCAAGTTTATACTATACAACTTCAGGCTTCAATGACTTTAATGGGATCGTAAATATTAATAGGAGAACGAGCCAGTGATAATAAAAAATCGTAATTTATTTTACTTCATCCGGTAAATTGAGTTTAAATTCATTATAAATGTTAAAAACGAGTGCAAAATAAATCCGACTATGTAGAGTTTACAAACAATGTCAGACCGAACTATTACGCCCCGGGCTACCCATTTTGATTATCGGGCTTGGAGCAAAAAAAAAAGTGTCTCCCAGCCAGTTAGTTTTTGATAGTCGTTGGCTTGTTTTAATGACTCCTCCTGGACTGCAGCAGCATCACAACTTTTTTCTTTTTATGACTGTATGCAAATATTTTTTCAACACAGTTTATGGTCGGTGATTGTTATCCGGCTCTGGGTCGGTAGTCGGTTTTTGCAAATCTTTTGTTCAGCTTTTATGGCCCTCTAGCCCTATCTAAAGCACCCCCTTTTTCGCCGAGTGTCCCTTTCAGGTCAGTCCATCTTCATTGCTGATGACACATTTTTGATTTGTCGCTAATTTGAATTTGAAAATGAATCGAATGGCAAACGGCAGCTATTTTATTTATTTATTTATTAATGCCATCAAAAGAATTTATGACAGTTCAGGCGTTGTAAAATTTTCTGGTTTCGCTTTGATTTTCATTCTTGTTTCGAGTGTTGATTGGTCGCCTGACATATTGACTTGCATTTTGTCAATAGCGTTTTGTCTCGTTTGATTTAATTTGATGAAGGTCGTTTCTATTAGCGCCCATAAAAAGAAGGAAATTTATATCACATTCGACCTTCCTTACTTTGATTTGGGCTGATATTCTATTGCTGAGAAAATATCTGGTAGCATGTGGAATGGAAAACGTAGGCACTAAAAATGTTTAAATTAAATTAAATTGTAAAAGAAAGGAAAAAAAATAAAACAAAAGTAAAATATATTTGCAAAAATGTTGCAATATTGTATACTACTCAAAAAATTCACAAATTGGCTGACAATTTGAGGGGCTTTAAACATCCAAATTCTAAAAATCCAATTCGCACCTGCCCATAACACTCATTATTTTAGGGGTTACTTTTAATTCCACCGTTTGGAATCAATGTCATTCTGTATTCTTCCACCCTGGCCAATTATTTCAACCACCTTTTGCTGGCCTCGCCAATTAGCTGACCAAACCTGAACCCAATGCGAAGTTTGTTTTATCGAGTATCTGGAGTGGAAAACACTCAAACACTCGATGCAATTTAAACAAATATATGCAGACACTGCCTCAAAAAAGAGCGCACACGCCCACTTGGCAGGAGGGGCGTGGCTGGGAGGCGGTAAGCGATAGCCCAGACAGATACTTTATGCCGTACGTGCCAAACAAAACTCCGCAGCCACTGACCCATCCAGTTATTGAAATGCAAAAGGCAAAAACGGAAAATTGCAGTAGCGAAGACAATTTCCCTGGCACGCAAAGAGGGGAGGGGGTGGGAAAATGGAAAGGGGGAAAATGCAGACAGGAACATGGATGGACCCATGTGTGTGCATGACTTGGGAGACCCGCGATCGCAGGACTGGACTAGACATGGACCAGGATTGGATTTCTAATGTGCATTCGTTGTCTGCCGTCAATCCATTAAAAATCGTACCCCGGCGACAACAACAAATGCGGCACGTACGGTTTTATTTCTCTGGCTGGACTTCTCCTCGGTTCTCAGTAGATAACATTTGTATTTAAAAGACACTTTACGGATTGCTTTTGAGCGCCGAGCGGTGAACCGGTCTCCTTTCCTCTGTGCAACCATTTGTAGTTTATCGGAGGCGAATCTTGAAGTACCGCCCGGTACAAGCCGCATGTCAAAATGTCAATTTTTGTTTCGGTCTCTCTTTCCCCCGACACTGTGTGGCACGTCCTCTGTGGCCTCTTGGGGCATGCAAAATTGCCACATGTTGCGTAAACTAGTTTCGTGAGTCGTGAGATATATCACCTGAGTCGCAGCGCTCTAACTGCACTTGCAGAATTTGTATATGCGCATATATGTATATTTTTTTCAAGCGATCTCAGGCATTCGGCCTGTCATGTCCCCACTTTTCCAAATGTGTTTGCTATGATCGGTGGCTTGAATGGCCGACAACGGTTCAGACTACCAGGGAATATGTAGTTTATCCCCGCCAGAAAACGTGTTCGACAACAGCCTTGGACGGCTGAGATGCCATTAGATGGCTGGGAATTGGTTTGGAATTGAGTGTCTGTCTGAACTTACCCTTATTTATGCGGCAGGTTTTTCGGCTAATGTGGCGAGATTTTTCTTAACCTGTAAAAATGGAAAATAGAATGAGTAAGTAATTTAGATATATTTACAAAAGGTCTAGAGTTAATGAGGAAATAGTTATGTTTTTTTATAATATAATATAATATAAAACAAAACAAATTATCTATTTTGTTATTCAACAGAGAGATTCATTGTACGATGACGATAACGCTTAAAATACATTTCAAATTTTGATTATAATTAATTTAAATTATTCGACTAAAGGCTTAAGAAATTGCATCATTAAAAAATCTTAATAAAAGTACTATTTCAAAAAATGTTAGTCCATTTAAATTGGTTTCAATGCTTTCTTATGGTCGCAAACGCTTTCTGGGAATCCCACCCACCTCGAATACTTTTTTTTATTCCGGGCCAATCCGCTGAAGACTCTGTTGATTACCCCAGAAGCAAAGGCAAATAAACTTTATTACCCAATGGCCGTGTGGCATTTGAGAATTTCTGGCAGTTTTTGGGCCTTAATGCGAAGTTTATTTCTTGTTCGCTTTTGCGGGCATAATTAAGCGCACTTTTAAATATTTCAACCTATGTTGTGTGTTTTGTTGAATCGTAAAAAGAAATGGAGTACCGCCGGGATCATAAAACCAACGTCTTTTGGACCACCCAAGATGGGTGACTGTGAGACTTTTGCATGAGTTACTCGATGCGTGTGCCAAAAAAAAAAAGAAAAGTATGAAGAGCGGTGGAAAAAAGGTCAACCATTTTATAGCCATTTCCCGCTTAGGTTTCTAGGTGTTAAATAATAAATACGCCCAGGAATCGCTCTCTCCCAGTCGATAAAAACGGGCGCAAGTATTGCGTGCTCCGACTTATCGTCCTTACAGTTTACTTGGTCTATATGACTCCCACTTTTCCATCCAGCCCGCTGCATGATGACATTTTAATAGCTAGCCCAATCCTCAAGGAACCGAAACAAAAAAAAAGAAAGCAAGCCCCGAAAGCAATAAGAGTATTTTCCGTCCTTTTACGAGCACTCATAAAACATTGAAACAATGACGAAAGCCCAACACTTTTCCTGTTGGTTTTCTCCTCCTGGCCTGCCACCTTATTCATGTATGTTCTCCGTGGAACCATAAACAAATTTCCCATTAATTGCTTAATTTTACTAGACTCCTTATCGAGCGACTCCACAGTTCAGCTTTAAAGATTCAACACAAAAGCAATTAAAGGCCTACCAACAACTGCCGCCACAAGGAAAAACCTTTTTCTGCAGACTAAACTAATTTAATTAGTTCAGGTTGGAAAGGTAGTAAGCTATTTAGTCCCCGTCTGGGTTCCTTTGGTTAGTTAGACGCGCCAAATGAAATCAGACTTCGAGCGATACAATGTTTAATAATGCCCTGAACAAACTGAGTACGCACAACCACCACAAAAGGTGTGCGAAATATATATAGATATGTTATATAAATATATGCTTAAGCATATTCTGCTTATTTAAACGTTTTAAAAGCCCAAATTGTTCATTGAACTCGTTAAAATGTATTAGGCAAAATTCTGGTTTATTTTATTCAATAATTGCTTGATCGGATTTAGATTTAAAGATAGTCAAAGTTGAAAAAAATTTCAAAATCGTGTTTTTAGCTTTTTAATGCATTATGAAAATTATTACAAATGAAACACTTATTTTAATTTTTATTCAATTGAATAGCTTTTAAATGATAACGTGGAACAGTAATTATCCTTGAAAGAGATAAGAAATCGACTTCCGCATTAATTTACTAAATATAAACAACAGCTAATAGGTTGTGACTAGCTTTTGTTTATGTCGCACACCTTCACCCCGAAGACCCCATGAGGAAGTTAGTTTTTTTTTCGTACATGTCATTGACTCACACCCGTAGAAAGAGACAGCCTGTCCGGGAGTGAGACAGAAACATAAAATTTGCGGCAATTTCTAGGGCGTCGTCGTCATCGCCGTTGTCGTCTCGTTCTGTAGGTGACTTTGGCTGTGCGGCATATAAATAAATATTATATTACCCTCGGCGTGGAGGAAACCTTAGACCCGCGACGCAAATGTGAGACAATTTCCCCCTCGTCTTGTGTCGCCCTTTTGTTTGCCTGCTGAGTTGTTAATTAAATATTTACTCTGCTTATTTGCAAAATGAATAATTTTAGCATTTTATTTCACATGGCACAATGTCTGTGTGTATATCACTCCTTCTAGCTTCTAGGGATTTCTTGCCCACACTCTAACCTTTTAGCACATTTATGCTTGACTTCGGAGACACTTTAAGTTCGCCTTTGGCTTTAGCTTTAATTGCCTTTATTGTCGACTTTAAATACATGGAGAGAAATATTTGCAAATAAGGCTGTATGGTTCTTAAAGACTCAGTCACAAAATATAAAAATAAAATTGTTCTTTTTTTTTTAAAGAAATAAAAAGAAAATTATTTTTTCTAGTTTTTTTTTTGAACAGCTTAGAAATGACTTCCTAAATAAAGTCGCAATTTAACGGTTAGAAAAACAAGTATAACTGACTTAAGTTAGTCATTTCGCAAGTTGAGCTCACCCATCCACGAATTACATCATACAAATTTTCTCACAACCTTCTAGAGAAAAAAAATCAGCATCGCATTTGCATTTAACTTTTCGTTTTTACTTCTCACATATTTATTTATTTACTTTTTAAGCATTTCGTTACGCTTCACATTTACGTGTTGATTGCTCGTTCCAGCACACAAAGCGAAACTTGTTTCGCAAAATGCCATTCAAATAGTCGCAGTCTGAATCTTGGCCCAACTAATGACTTCATTCTGTTGTTGTTTCTCCGCTGCCCGTCAGTCAAGGTGAGTCGGACGAATTTCAAATATTTCAACAGCTGGAGTTCCACGCTGGATTCGGAGTTTACCCCAGAGAACTTTGCATAATTGATTAATAATTTTGCTGGACAGGTGGCGCCCCCCAAGCGACCACGCCCCCTTTGGAGACCCCTTGGCCGACAATCGTTAAATATTCAAATGAACTATCCAGACCGCCTTAACCCATTAATTAGCCCGACTTGAGCACACATTAGATAAATGTTGTGAAACCTGATTAAAAGCAAACAGTTCGAGCTTAGGACTGGAAAAAATTTCACTTTCCCGCTTTAAAGGGTTCCACAATCCAGAGATCTCAAATAGATAACTATAATCGGTGTTAGGGGAAAATAGGGAAAATATAGAAAAGGGGTTGACATTTCAGAGGCGTAACCCATCTCGCACACAAACTTATTATTGATTTTACTTACATTCGAGTTTTGCTGATTTGTTGTTCATTTTGTTTGTTTGCCCTGCGTTTGTTTGTTTGTTTGTTGATTTTCTGTTTGCTTGACTCGAAAATTATTTGGGTTAAACCAACAGCAACAAGCAATCAATGCATAGCTCATAGACAAGACTTCCAACGGGATTGAAGTACGGCTATTTTCAGAAATTGCTTCCTGGTATGAAAGTTTCTTTCATAAAATTATGAAATTCAAAGTTTTATTGAGGAAGTGCAAAGTTGAAAACTTGGATCAGTGAATAGTGACTGTATGCAAATTATGTACAAGTAGGGTACTTAATATTAATGGACTTTAGCTTTAATTTTGTTACTTTGTTTTGCACGAAAATTATGTGATTGTGATAACACAAAAATTTACTTGCTCTAGAATGAAACTTTACGTGTATTTTCTCATAAGTTAAACTTATTTTATCGCCTATGCCATTCTCAGCTTATAGAGTTCCTGACAATCCCACTAATTCGCCTTCAAACACCTGACAAATCCAATAAGTTGTTCAACTCTTCAGACCAAACTTTAACCGCAAAAACTTTAACACAAAACAAGTTAATTTGTCGCAGCTAGGAAACTAGCTTATGGGTAAACAACGAACATGTCAACAAAACTTAACAGAAATTAACTGGGTAAACACGAAAAGAACCGGAAAATACTTGCTTAATTAACTGGGAAAAGCTTTTGGGACAAAGGACACGTAGGCGGGGAAAATGTAGGCGTGGGAACCCTTTATTAAAAGGATAAATTTGCCGCAACGTGGCGTATGCGCAATTAACATTTATGGCAATTAATTATACGATTATGCATACGCCGTGTGGCACACCGCCTGGCATCAACATAAGCAGCCGATGTTTCTGTCTTTTCTGTTCTGCCTCCTAATGAAGGCATCAAATCCGAAGGCGACAAAGTGTTTACCACCGTCTTTTTTTTTTGTTTGTGCCCCCACTTTCGGTAAGCTATAATTATGGGTAATCAAACTGTTTTATTTGATGCTCTAACTAATGATCTTTTTGTCTAGGCATCAGCAAGGTCGAAACCCTAAACGAGCCATTCAGAGACTTGAGACTTTAATTAATCGTTGTATCGCCATCAACTCTGATTAACCGAACAGGCCAAAAATACTGCCCCCAGGCAACTCAATCTCGTTAATTGATATGCAAAATCAAATGGCCACTAAATGGTGCGAACCGAGGAATTACGCCAAAGTGCTTGACCAGGTGAAGGTTCTACCGATTTTCCGAGAAATCAGGCCAGAGTTCGTTGAACTAAGTGCTGGGCGTGTCGAAATAGAGACAGTAGAGGAATTTATCGAACGAAAAATGAAAATTCAATTTTTTTATAAGAGATTTTAAATTGTAAATTCAAGGCATCAGAAATCATATAACAAACTGCACTCTACAGCTTAGCAAAAAGAATAATTAAGCCAGATATCATTGGCACTCATATTTTTATGTAACTTTTTCTATGAAATATCTAGAGCATTGTTATTTGAGTAGGCCAGCTTAAGAATTTTCCTTTACTTTTGCTTCCATTTATTTGTCATAATTTTAAAGCCCGTATAATTCTGCATTCACAATTTGTAGAACGAAAAATGTTTTTCATTATCACATATATTTTCTGTTTCTGCCCCCTTCCACACCTTGATGCCCCATGTTAACCAATTTGTTTTGACATATTTTTGCTCGACTAGGCAGAATTGTTCAAAACACCAGGCAAAAACACAATGGAAAACTGA